AGTAACTAATTCTGGAAACGGTTTACGTACGTTTGCTATCAATCAGTATTCTGCAAGCAGAATCGAGTGTACAGCACTCGAATGTCTGTATACACTTGCTTGTATTTTCTACGATGCATCCGTCGATCCACTTTGATTTCGATTTCTTCTAGATCCAATAGAAGACTGTTATATTTTTCTCTTCAACTGTTTCATTAATGTCTTGCGTTAATTGATTACTGGCCCGAGTCTGATTTCAATAGTCTTCAATGAGATTTCGCAGTTTCCACTACGTTTATCGACAAAACTCGCTCTCTCTTTCTCTTACGTAGGGTAGGTATGTATAATGACGTAGAAAGGGTTAAGAGGTAATACTAGCCAAACTAGTAACGTGGCCGGTAATTCGCACGAGATTAACAGGTTAATAAGCAGAGGACGTTCTCGTTACGCGTCCGTCACGTTTATAGGCTCATACCGCCTGCGAAACTCGCATTCATTACTCGGTTTAGCACTCCGATGGAATTAACGGGTACGTCGAAATAACGGAGTTAGCCACTGCTGAATATCATCGAATGTAAATGACAGCGTAGTCGTGAGTGGGAATAAAAATTTGTCAAATGAACGCGTGAAGAGAACTTTTATACACTTACTTGTTCATATCCAGATACTCTCGGCTTTTTCTCTTCGTTTCTATCCTATCCTCACAGTGTCGGTACTTACTCTAAATTTTATATTTTTCTTGCATTTGTCATCCCGTAAGATACTTCAGGATCGTCGTACCTCTAACAACACCCATCGTCGATCGATTCCTTTTGCGTCTACCTACGCAGCTACTTGAAATGTCAAGGAAAATATTATTGAGATACGTCTTTCTAGTCTCTCCGCTGCGAGTCCTTTGTCGCCGCGCCATCTTGGGTCGTGGGCAGGTATGTGGCTAAGTAAATAGATATACCGAGGCGCCTAGAAATGGCAGTGGCGTCGCAACGCAACAAAATCCCAAATGCAACGGATCGTCCCTCGCGTCTCGTTCACGACTCAAGAATCTTGTTTACTTATAATCTGCAAGGCAAATGCACGACATTCTGCGGGCTAAACAATTCATTCCAGCGCGACGTTCGGAGTGGTCTCGAATAAAGTAAGATGCCTCAGGATGCGCAGTTCCCTGTATTCGACAGAGGATTTCCACTTTATCTTATTTATGGTTTATGTATGTACCTTGGTGCGCCTTCGCAAAGGAGTTTATATGCTAAGCTTCACACTCGGGCTATCCTCGTTACTATTTTTGTGAATTATTATTTCATCAACGTTGCTCTACACCATTTTCCTACACATACTCTAGACCACTTTTAGTTCTGACAGAACTTGTAAGACCATTGTCGCAAATGATCCTCGCACAGCATTCACTCCACATTCATATTCGATTCTTTGTTTCTTTGGTCTGTATCGACGACTCCGTCAATTCTTTCGATTCAAAACGTACCGTTCGTTCGTTCATTGCGCGCAGCGCTCTCTGGGGACGAATTACGGAATCTAGAAATTTATCAGTCAACCTCCACGTATACACTCGTGTTTCATACTGTAAAAGACCACAGCGATGGATTCCTGAAAGGAGTGTAATTAAAAGTGAATCAATATAGACGGTCTAATCTGTCAACTACCCATAATTAGAATCGTTACATATTTAATCTTTCCTCTTGACCTAATAATGCAGCGCGCGTCGTTCCTCGTTATTTTCAGTGAGATTATAACCATGAAATTCCAAGAGACCAACTGGAATACAGCATGTATTTACGTGATACGTTATCAAGTGTTGGGAAGGTCTTAGCGAAAAAATATGAGAAGCTTCACTCTGGTATATTTTTTATTATCTTTTTTTCGCCTTTCATCCTTCTTTTTTTTTTCTTCTACTTTCCTCTCTCTGTAACCGCACAACTTTTAGTTTTCCTCGAACTCACTGGTCCCTCGTCGAGGCCGCCCCGAGATGCCCGAGAATTGCCCGACGTCCCGACGCTCAGCCCGACGACATTGGCAAATGGTTCGTCGCTGACGTTAATTTATTTCTAGTCGCACAACTCGCCCTGTCGTGCCATGTAAACCGGCCTGACCAGGCTGACAGAGATGTTATCGTTAATGGTAGTTGTTAGTATATGACCAATATACATAAATACGTAATAATACATCAAGGTGGAATGACTAGGCGGTCATATTGATCGCGGAACAATTTAAACACATACGAGAGGCTTATGGGATAATAATTCATTCCTCGTTTTAAAATTTAAAAATATCTTTTCATCCGAAGTCGATCGGACTCATTTTCCTTTACTATTCAGAAGCTTATTGACAATCGACCCGTTTCTGTCCTTCTCTTTATTTTTTACCAATTTACTTTTCTTTTTTTCTCCGAGACCCATCACCTTCCCCCGTAGACTCGTATTTATTAGCTACGACCCGATGTCTTAAGGGGAAACGAGAGACTCGTTTTCAACGAAGCGAATTCTTCTCAAAGAGTCGAATTGCAAGAATCTTCGAGGACTCGCTCTTCTTCTTTTTTTTCTTCCTTCAGCTTTACTCCTCTTGCCTACCTCTCTCTCTCTCTCTCTCCCTCCTTTTATCTTAACGTTCCTCGTTCATTCTTGCCGGAGGCCTTCAAAGATATCGGCGCTTATCAAGATTCTGGAAATCGCTCGATTTCTCCCTGCCTGTTTTCTTTTTGTTTCCTCGTTTCCTTTTCTCCATCGCATTGTTCATCGTTATTCGAACATAAGGTTCTTCCTGAACATTTTTCCCTCGATACCACGAAGGTCTCTACGGTGCAATATTCTCCCGTGTATAGATATACCTATTATCGTAATTGTAAAATATAATTATTATTATCTTCACTGGCCGTCTAAATGCACGTTCATTTTTTATTTAAAAAAAATTCTACAACCTATATTTTCACATTGTCGGGCATGATGCGTTATTACAATTTTTTACTCCATTCTCCGAGACGAATGTAATCCTTCCAGCCAATTTAATTGAAAATCAATTTGTTGGATTCCGCGTGTCACGCGAACTTGCAGGGTGCCTGCAAACGTCGATGGGCTCAAATAAAATAATAGCGAGGATAAAAAATATATGCATATATTTTTGTAAAAGCGACAACAAAAGCAACGCACAAGAATGACAATGATCAGCGCGAAAGAGAATTTCGTTAACGGTCGTGGTTATTGTCGACTTTTTTTTTGAAATTTATTTTTCCATCAACCCCTCTCCCCCTTCAATCCATTGATTTTTTAGCATCCAGCAATTGCGTCGTCGTTTTCACGTAAAACGGTGTTGCGCGATGAAAAAGGAACCCGAAGAAACTTTACAAAAAAAAAAAAAAAAAAAAAAAAAAAGGAAAAAAAAAAAAAAAAAAAA